AAGGAAGATGAGACTGAAGAGGTAGAGAGTGACAGACAGACTGCAGACAGATGGCCAGAGCTCTGTTTAGAGCCTTTCCTGATGTCACTGGGCGTCTTCACACACGCACTGGTCTGTTCTACCTCTCTCTGCCATCCAAACCATCTGGCCTTCCTCTAAACACAAACAGCTATAAATCATAACAAGAGCCTGAGCAGGTGAGGAGCACATATAATCACAGGGGGAAAGAATACAGCCTTGTTTATTTTGCGGAGAGTAACAGCTATGTAATACTGTTAGCCAGGAGCGGTCTGACACAGCTACACAGATTCCACCTATAAAAAAAAAGCACCCAGTAAAAGGCTTAACGCTTGTACACCTGTTATCTTGTCTAGGCTGTCAGTACATCAAAAAACAGGTCACAAGTGGGACTGACTGAACTAAAGTGTTACACAGACATCAGGTTATGAAACCGATCAAAGATGTGTGTGAGTGACCACAGTACTCCAGCTCTTACAGAACGAGGGGCTTAATAATACTGTGCCCAACTGACTGTTGCATAATCTCTGACTCGTTCTCAGACTCTGGTTTAGATAGGTTTGAGCCTAGGAACATTCAGGAAGAGGAAAAGGAACAGGAAGTGGAGCAGAGCAGGCATTTTGTCCTCTCACACACTGCTTCCTGCCATCTGGGGGATCGGCTATTGTGTACTCAATGACCACACATCCTGTAACTAGCCATCCCAAAAGAGAAGAGAGAGGAGAGGGAGGAAAGAAAGACAAATAGAAAGAGTAGGGATGCACTAATATTAATATTCTGGTTATTACCCATAATACACATATCAGCGAATAATTTTCATGGCCAAAATCAACATTAGACACTACTTAGATGCTACTAAAAAAATAACTATTTTATATTTTATATCTCACTAAAAACTAAAATCAATCATTTTGCATTCTACAAATGAATGTAGGCATCAGAACATTAGAATGGAAAAACAGATATTCATTTTAAGATTGGCTAAATATGAACATTGGGGACATTGGATGAGGAATGGTGAGGTAGGAAAATGTAGAGGGGAAGAAAATTGAAGATGAAGATGAAAAAGAGCCAATGTTGAACACTCACCCTGTGAAGAGTCACCGTGTGCTGTTCCCATATTACAGTTTCCTCCATTGTTGTACTCTGACAGTGAGACAGAGAGAAAGCGATCAGTTAGGACAAAGTCTAAGCACAGTCAATGAGTTTGTATCAGCAGGTATTTCTCCTCTTTGTCAGGAGGTGATTTTACTCTGAAGTTCATAGAAGTTTACAGCATGTGCCTAATAAAAGCATGTGATTAATAAAGCCTATTGACAATACTGTAGTCTAACAGGGTCAATTACAAGGTCAAAACAAAAATTAAACATACATAAATCAGTTGTTCACAATAAGATCTATAGCATGTTGCATAGACAACACATTATCAATTCATGCGACTTTTAATTTATGGCTGGCTTATAACACCGTATCACCATCAAACAGAACAGAGTGATGTGATCACTATAAAAACACCTGCCCAAAATGCCCCGGGCTCCTGAGACATTCAACTTCTCTTGTCTGACCAATCAGACGACAGCTGTCCCACTCATGTCTCTGCTTTCAATGCACACATCATACAAACAAACTGCTACAACATGAACAAGCTGCACTGGTATAAGTCAGAAGGGACAGACGCAGAGAAAGAGAGACAGGGAATGATAAAGACAAGGAGAGGAAGAGCAGATGGTATTTATAGCTCTAACCCTGAGCTGAGGTGAATGGTTTGTGCTTCTGCTCCTTCACCCCTGTACTGTAGATGCCAGGCTGGATAAATTATTACAGTAAGTCTGAGAGTTTCAAAACAGACTCAAGCACTAATGGTGCACACATTGTGTGTCTAATTACATTTTAAAAATGTTTTTTCACTTAATGAACAAGGAAAACTATATCGGTCAATATAAGACTGCAATAAAACATTTTAATGAGAAAACATTTTATAACACCAGCAAAATCAAACAAATAAGGAATACTTCCTATACCACCCACTGTACATCACACTTGAACATCCAGCATATCTGCACTGAAAACACAGTTTAACCCTGCTCTGACCTGTTTACCACGCTGCTTAGCAGGCATCTCATTCATGGTCCTAATTGGCACAGGGGCATTATTCAGTTCATGCCCCCATTTCTACCCCTCTCTCTCATGGTTAGGCTTTATTGTGAGAGGATCTGACCTATTTGAAAGGCATCCACCTCTCACAATCTCACCGTGCCTCGATCCCTCCTCTGACCCTCATCCACACATTCCTTTAATGTGTCTGTAGTGGCAGAGGTGCTGGATTCATCGGACTGCAAGAGCTGACAGCAGGGGCCCCGACCATAAGAAAAATGCCCATGCAGTGAGCCATGCGACAGACAGAGAGAGAGAGGCCTAGGGGTTCTTGTCCTTGGTGGCGGAAGAACAGCAGACTGTTTAGGCTTCAGAAGAATGGCCCCATTACGCCTGCGTGAAAGCTTAGGCAAGGCCAGGAGTGGAACAATAAAGGCTGGAATACACTACATGACTTCTGACAATAGACAAGTCAACGCTAGATGCCAAAAATCAGTGCCAGTCTGAAGGTCTGAGTTGACAGATTTCACAGAAAATCACGTAGTGTATGATGGACATCCAGTCTGAGGTTTTCAAACATGTTTGGTATTTTGAGCCAATTTTAGACATTCGTCATACTTATTCTAGCAATGAAACATGAGTTTGTTGTGAGAGTCTGATAGCGTGTGATCCTCAGTCGTTTAGCGTATGTCCAGTTTTTCCTCTGGCATTATCTACAAAGTTGTCAGGTGTAGATCAATTTCCAATATTATTACAACATTACATCAAAAACACTCAATTTTTCAATAGAAGCCTGTGATTTTTGCATATGCGTGGTTTGAGAATATTTGATCCTGAACTTGTTACCTGATGAAGCTCCTCATCATTGGCGATGGCTAGTAAAATGTGTCTGGGTGTGACGCGGCCCTTCTTATTGTCTCTGGCTGCATTGCCTGCCAGCTCCAGGATTTCAGCTGAAAGCACCATGCATGAAGAGCTTCAAGAGGACAGAAAGGCTTCTGATGCAGTGCATCGATATAGATGGTTACAGATGCATCGTACCTGTCAGGTACTCCAGTACTGCAGCCATGTAGACTGGAGCTCCAACACCAATCCTGTATTTGGGAAGCCCTCTTTTAATATAGCGCAGCATCCGTCCCACAGGGAAGATCACACCAGCCTTAGCAGACCTGGACGTCTTGGAGATCTTCTTCTTCCCACCTCGACTGGACATGATGCCTGAGGAACAAACATGATGAAGTTTCTCTGCCCTGTCCATGCATTTCAGCAAAGCGTGCTGGCACAAAGAATAAGTCTTAATATTAATTCAAACTAGTTATTTTTGTGCAAATAAAAAGTTTTCTAATTATTCTAATTATGATATATTCTGTGAATGATGCATATGCTTTATATGTCATCAGTCAGTATTTCAGTAGATGTTAAAAAACTGACGACGCTCTAAATGAACATGCTGCTGTTGAGTATTTCGTGTTGATGTGATTCAGTGAGCGCAGAGCGATGCTTCCGCGTGTTTTATTCATCATATTTCTGATGTGATGACTTCCTGATGAAGCGAAAGTGAGTCGCGGCCCGCAGACGCGCAGGAATCGCGCAGGAATCACCGAAAAGCGTGGAAAGAGAACGCGTGGATGACGGCGGAAGGCTTACAATAGAGAGCACGGTGAGGTGTCGCGTCGCGTCGCGTTCAGTCCAGCACTGCTAAAGCCTGACAAGCCCAGGCAACGTCCCAGACACCCACAGTCCACAGCGCGACTGAGAACTAGAGAGCCGTCTGCCAGCAGAGGCCGCTGGAGGGTCAACTTTATAGAGTTATGTAAGAATGACATCTGCTGGAAAAAAAGCCTCTGGGTTTAAGAACATTTTGGATAAAAACTGTTGATAAAATATGCATTATATTTCCAAGGCCCAGTTGTACAAAATACATTTGATCAGATTTGAGGTATCATATTAGATTTGAAAAGGGATTGTTAAAAAAAAAAAAAATCTGGATTATCCAGATCCCAGCTGAAGATTGGACTCTTTTATTAGAAAATAATCAAATACTTGTACAATATTTGTATGTAGTATAGACCAGATACCCTTAGTACTTGCTTTGTTTAACCATTACAGTGACTGAGTAGAAGAAGGAAAAAAGTATTTTGTCCGCATAAAATAATCCCCCCAAACAGCTGTCAATTTCAAACAAAAATAATAGTTTTAATTTTAATGGTCATGATTGTATTATTAATTACAGTGACAATCATCAGAGATTATGCAGTCATATATTAATTTGTTTTGATTTATTTGTTGTGAGTCAGATGAGGATCTTAAGTGAATATTTGTGATCTTTTATTGCACTGTTTTCTGTCTCTGATCTAGTGGGTAACTTTTTTAGGGAAACCTAACCCTAACCCTATCTCTCGACACCCAGCGGTGAAAACGCTGTGTGAGTAACAAAAACTCAGGTGAAACACAGTGACACCTTTTACAAAACAGTTACTAATGTTTTAAATAAATTCTGGCTAAAACCAGATGATTACATTACTTTAAATGAGTCTGCCTCAAGATTACTGTTAAAAACATGAGCCACGTCCAAAAGGTAAAGGGGGAGGTGTTGCTACAATCTATAACAATATTTTCAGTATTTCTCAGAGGTCTGGTTTCAAGTATAATTCGTTTGAAGTAATGGTGCTTCATATAACATTATCCAGAGAAACAAGTGTTAATGATAAATCCCTTGTGACATTTGTACTGGCTACTGCATACAGGCCACCATACAGACTTTATCAAAGAATTTGCTGATTATGAGTTAGTGCTGGCTGTAGACAAAGTCTTAATTGTTGGTGATTTTAATATCCATGTTGATAATGATAAAAACTCATTGGGATCAGCATTCATAGACATTCTGAACTCTATTGGGGTTAGACAACACGTGTCATGACCTACTCATTGTCAAAATCATACTCTAGATTTAATACTGTCACATGGAATTGATGTCGATGGTGTTGAAATTCTGCAGCAGAGTGGTGATGTCTCAGATCATTATCTAGTCTTGTGCAAACTTCATATAGCTAAAACTGTAAATTCTACTCCTTGGTACAAGTATGCTAGAACCATCACTTCTACCACAAAAGACTGCTTTGTAAGTAATCTTCCTGTAAAGAGAGCAGCCCGGAAAATGGAGCGCAGCTGGAGGAAAACAAAACTAGAGGTATTTCGTATTGCATGGTAGGAAAGTACCATATCCTGCCATGCAATACGAAATGATTCCAACGATATAATTTCTCTACCAAATCTGAGCTCAGAAGACTACAGAGGGTAGTCCGGACTGCACTGTCATTCTGTTACACTGTGGAAGCTTCTGTCACGAAAACAAATTCCTCGTATGTGTAAACATACCTGGCAATAAAGATCATTCTGATTCTGATTCTGATTAAATGTAACAATAATAACACTATATAAGCCTGTATACAAGTCATAGAATATTTTTAACTTTCTGATGAATCTCTGGGAGTCTGCTTTGTCTGTCATTAGTTTGGTTTGATCTGATTTATTAAAACATACACACGCACACACACACACACTCTCTCTCTCTCTCTCTCTCTCACACACAATAAAGTTTAAAGGAAAAAAAAGGTATTAAAGTTAAAAGGCCCGTGTTCTTACACGGCTTGAACTCACAGCAGAAATTTTTACAAGGGTCAAGAACGTCTGTCCTAAATGCACAGCTAATGTAAGGCTCCAGTAAAATGATCAGCTAATCATCACATCACGAATAAATCTCTCTGTGGGTAATTACTATTTCTGGCATAACGATATGTTATAAAATATATAATTCTGTGCTGCAATCATTTAGCAGGGATTGTGTCAGCTGACCAGCGGTCGACCAATCACAGATCAGCTCGTGACGCTGTAAACAGCCGCGGACGCGCGGAGCGACTGACAGATGCGCGGAGCTCCAGACACGCATCATGGCCGGAGTGAGTCTCTTCACTTTATAACACTCTCTGCACATTATTCTGCTGCTTTTGGTCAGTTGTTTGGGTTTGTTCTGTGTCACCGATGCTTCAGTGTAACGCGTTTGTAACAACATTAGTTCGAGATGTGTCGCGGCGCGTTACAATATCAGCGCTACAGTGTTACGTTCCAAATGTTTCGCTCTGCTTGTTCTAAACATTTACCGAAGTTTACGAAGAAACAATAAATATCAATGCAATGGTGCTGATGGGACAGATTGGTTTATTCTTTAGTTTAAAGCATAACTTTCAGACTCGAACGATGTTTACTTGTTTATGTGTTTGTTGACATTTCATCAGTGAAAACAAACATCAGACAAATAACGCTGTTCTTGCGAAGAACTCGTATGTAGTCGCACATCTATAACACAATTACGCAATAATAATTCAGATTGATCCTGTTCCCGTCAGAAATGTTGAGTTATTTTATTGTGTGGATGAATTTACTCTATTATTATTATTATTATTAGAAAAGTAGAAAAGTTTCACTGCTCGTGTGAAAGTGCACGAACCAGTTTACTTATAAAGTGATCGAACTTAATGCATTAGTTGACTTGTAATTACAAGGATGTTAATCATATGCTCATCTCTGTAAAAAGGAGAATACAGGAGGACTTTGGGATTCGTTGAAGAAAGCCGCTTTTGTCATTGGATCTGGGCTTTTCTTCCTGGTCGGGTTTAGGAACTCAGTGACATGGTAAGCATTTCGCCTTGCCTTTCAAATCATGTGCTCTTTGTAATCCTGGTTCTTGCTGACATCAGTTATTAATGATCTGTTTGTGTTTGCAGGCATCTGCAGAGGTTTTGGGGAGCGTCGGGAGATTTCTGGCAAACACAGTGGACCAAACTTCACCAAGCCTTGGGTGGAAATGAGGCGGCCTTGTTTTTTATCGGTTAGAAAGTCCAAACCAGTTTTGACGGTTTATTCTTGAGGAGTGAGGTGAGAGGAGAGGCAACCATACTATAATTTCGGATAAACCTCCTGTAGAAATTGGCAAAGCCTAGAAATCTCTGCAGATCCTTGACGGTTCTAGGTTGTGGCCATTCAGTGACTGCCTGAACTTTGAGGTCATTCATCTTGACGCCCTGTGAGCTGATGTGGTAACCCAGGAATGAAGTTTGATTAACATGGAACTCACACTTTTCTGGCTTGACATATAATTCATTCTCTAAACGTTCTGAATTCAATGGCAAACTCAGCAGCGGAATGATTACCTTGTGTCAGATTGATGAGCTGTGTCGAAACGTCTTTCCGCCGTGAGGATATTCAAACACTTCATGGTCAGTACTCGGGCGAGGGCTCCCTCTGCTGGCTTGGCGTTACAGCATCTAACGAACCTGCTCCTAACGAGAAAGAAGCTTTAAGGGCTGTCTGCATTAAAACCTTGTTGGTGTAACATTTGAAAATTATCAAATTAAAAATGGAAATATTAATATTATAATTTTATGTTGTTGTACTATAAAATAAAATGATTATTTTTATGAAATAGAGATCATAAGTGGAAAGTAGATGTTAATTAAAATCAGTATGTTTCTGAATACGCAAAGAAAATGAGTCCAAACCCCTGCTGTGAGTGCAGCGAAGAGGATGAAGTAGACAAATAATAAAGAATAAGTGATTTGATATTTTGAATTGAATGTAATTTGGCTGGGATTAAATAAGGATTTGATCATGCTGTAAAAAAGTCTAAAAATACTATTTGCATTCATCCACATAAATACTATTATAGAGAAGATTCAAACTTTTACTCGTGCAAATTTTACTCATGAGTTCTTGCTAGGGCTGGGAAATATGTGTAATATTCATGCTACGCATGCAGTTATTTCAATGTTATTAAACAACATTAATGATAACATTGAATGGTTTTAAGGGATTTATTATTAGACCAGTTTTCTAAGTTTTCTAAAAACCTTGTCATTACACAGATTTCATAATCCTTTCTTGTTTTGGACTCACAAGCAATAATGCAGGCATCTTTTAATAATGTCTGATTAAAACATGAAAAGATTAAATTATTAATCAAATCAATTCTACACTGCAAAAAATTATTTTCTCAGCACTTCTGTCTTATTTTATTCTAGTATAATGATCTAAACATTCTTGAATCAAGATGCCTTTACTTGAGAAGAAAATGAATTCAGAAATTAAGTCTTAATGTTAGAAAAAAAACATCTAAAATTTGTTTGTTTTTTGCCAACAACAAAAAAAAAATCTACAAATGGAGTAAGAGAAAAACATCTGAATTCAAAGGTAAAACAAGATTATTTTTCTTACCCCGTTGGCAGATATTTTATCTTGTTTTAAGCAAACACTAAAAATATTTTGCTAATTTTTGTCAGAAAACAAGACTTAATATCTTCAGTTAGTTAGCTTCTCAAGTAAATGCATCCTGATGCAAGAATGTTCAGATATTTGTACTGGACAACAATATATTTGCAGTGTATTAATGCCTTTCAGAGAATCAAAACTCTAATTCAGTGATTTGTTTTGCACCATCACTCAAAATATTGATGTATTTTTCATGTATTATAATGGTTTAGTAAAACTATATAAGCAAATATTGCTGTTGATTACTGTGTATGAGTGTGTGAAATCTGGCTAGATGTGCCACTGTATTACTGTATAATACTGTTATTATACCACTATACCATTATACTATTATTATACCAGCTGGCCGTTCATTGACTGCTGTATGTCCCAAGGTCCTATCATAACAGTTTAGCTGAATGAAAATATTGCCCTGTAAAATCATAACTGCTGCTTTTTCTGATAACCGTGTCAGTACTGATAATAATTTCAGCACACTTTGCATGAATTCAGATTACACAGCATATATAATCTTAACATGTCAGTCATAAATACTTGTGTGTTTAGACTGTATAGTGTGTAATAATGTCTGTCTGTAGCACAGAAACGGAATAATGTTCTGTTTATGAGTTCAGAGTTCAGTGATGACACTGTCAGTGATTATATGGTCTGATAAAGTTAATCTATACACGGCTGAACTTCTGGGGAGGTTTGATGGGTCATAAACTAGAGTAACCCAGGTGAACTTCAGCATGTAAACTGTGCTTCGATCACTGCGTCCGCATACTTCTCAGTTCATTAAATGAGTACTAGGGGTGTGCGATAATGACAAAAAATTAGATCTCAATATTTTCTGAATTTCTGACTGATATTCTTCATTCTGTGCAGTGGTTAGTTTGCAGGAGCAACAGAAACAAACTTTTCTGATACATTTAAATTGATTTTTTTGTGGGCATTTGTACCTTTATAAGGCCAATTATTCAAACTTTTATTTTTTATTCAAAAAAAATATAAAATGTATGCATCCTATTTTGTGTCAAATTCTTACATTTGATCAATAAAATCAATTCAAATAGTAAGACACTATAGGGCTGTTACCAGTCAAATGAAATCCGTATCAGTATCTGAAGTGGCGTTTAGATGCAGTCTGACTGTTTAATGCAGGACATGAATGCAGTTAACCTGCGGTTACAAATGCATAATGTTTTGATGTTTAAAAAACAAAAAGTTGAATACTGACATTTCAAAATGATAAAAAAGGAGAGAGAGAGAGAAAGAGGAAACTATAAATATACATAATACATTTTTTAAAATATTAATATTTGTTCCATATAAAATAAAAATCGCCAGTAGGTGGCAGCAAGTCACTGCATGAGTGAGTCATCGAGTCGATTCTTCAAATAGCTGATTGATTCATTAAGGAAACTCCAACAGTTCTGATGTGGCTTTGTTTGAAACTATTTTCATTGGTGAGCAAAAACAGATACCGTTGTGTCTAAAATGTAAGTCACTCTGTATTAACCTCTTGTTTATTGAACTGTTCGACAAACCAATGTCACATTTGCAGATATATGGAGAAAAAACTGGCATTCTTTGTGTGAAACTGATTAAAAGACAAAGTCATACAGGGGCATTTTTGCCTCAGTATCTTGAATTTTGGGTGAATTCTAAATTTATTTGAATAAAAAAGTGTGAATTCTAAATGCACAACACAGCAGTCTACCCTACATCACCCAGTGTATGCCTGCACTCTCTGGGTGCGTTTTTGTTTGGTTTTTGATATGTCTTCATAATGTCTGATCACACATCACTAAAACAACAATTACGACATTATCGTAAAAGAATTATATCACACACCCCTAATGAATAGTGCGTCTAAAGTAGGTGAAAATTACACATATAACCTGCTGAATTGCTATATAAATCTCAGTATTTTTTTTTTTTAATGCTTTTTTACATCCTGCCCAATGTTTACATCCAGTGAAACAATGTTTATATTATAGGCTATGAAAACAAATAAAGTGAAAGTAATCATGCAAAAAATGGTAAAAATCACATTACATTCTAACATTGTAACGTTACAATCTAAAAACAAAAACAATGTTAAATTCACTAAACTAAACATGAAAAGAAATAAAAACAAAAGCATGGATTAATTGCATTATATTTGGATTACTCCAAAACAGTCCATCATAAAATGATATCATATCATAGTCTATCGTAGCGCTATCATAAAAATACACTTACTTGTAAGTTTAAAATTCTACACATGACACATTTGTTGTCCAACTACAGATATTTTAGCTAAATGAATCATCCACTCCTGACAGCAGAATGGGTTTGGTTTTTGATATGTCTTCATAATGTCTGATCACACATCACTAAAACAACAATTACGACATTATCGTAAAAGAATTATATCACACACCCCTAATGAATAGTGCGTCTAAAGTAGGTGAAAATTACACATATAACCTGCTGAATTGCTATATAAATCTCAGTATTTTTTTTTTTTAATGCTTTTTTACATCCTGCCCAATGTTTACATCCAGTGAAACAATGTTTATATTATAGGCTATGAAAACAAATAAAGTGAAAGTAATCATGCAAAAAATGGTAAAAATCACATTACATTCTAACATTGTAACATTACAATCTAAAAACAAAAAGAATAATTTTTTAGGCAAAAGTTCAATTCACTAAACTAAAAATGAAAGTAAATAAACACAAGAGCACAAAAGGGCATTTTATTTCTGATTACTCCATTACTGCTATCTGCTATCATAAAATACACTCACTGTAGGTTTAAAATTCTACATATGACACAATTATTGCGCTCCTATTCTATTGCGCTCCATCTGTTTGGCGCTCTTTCACTGAACTCTGTGAATTTTAGCGATTTAGAGAATCGCATGCAAAATGCTCCTGACAGCAGAATGGAAATATTTCCATGACTTTCTAACATTTACAGATGGAGAATATACCGGTGATACTGATAATATACAGGTGTAATATACCGCCGAGCCCTAGGTCATGTTGACAAGCTGTTTCAAACCACTGATATTGCCCAGATGTTGAGTTCTAGAACACCCTCGAGTCACGGTGCATCACATCTAGTAAAGTGCCTAGTGAAAGTACACCTGTGACTGAAGTGCTGCTGTGAACGGTCTCCCGACAGGTGGATGCGGCGCAGTTACGGCACGCGGTGAAGACGGTGCTCTTTAACCAGGTGTGTCTGTCTGGTCCTGTGGTGGTGCTCACCTACATGGTGATGAAGAGGCGAGGCGAGCCGTGCGGCCCGGAGCTGCCCACCTTCCACTGGGTGCTGCTGGAGCTGTCCGTCTGCGGCCTGATGGAGGAGATACTCTTCTACTACACACACAGGTTAGCATTCAGAAAACACTCACTCCGTTTCTGATGACACAGTGCTGCATGTCCACCAGGTGAGGTGTGCAAGTAAGTGGTGCGCAGGTGGGACCAAAATGGGTAAATACGTTCAGATTTGCGTACTGAGATGGTTGACAGCTGTTAATGCACAATCACTGTTTTAGATTGACTGACTGTAACACTGTAAGATTTCTATTCCAACTGAAAGCATGAATCTTTTCTACGTGCCGGTTTTAGAGGAAAACACAAAACTGTGACTAAAACTGGCAGTGCATATATTTACTTACTGGCCAAAATAAAAACAGAAATAACAGAAAATGTAAATATTAGCATTGTATTTTATAAGTGTACTATAACATCATTTACATTTGATTTAATACTCACTTTTTATTTTAAAATATAGTAGTAGTATTGCGCTTCATTTATTATTTTGCTTACTATTTTATATTTTAAAAAATAATATGCAATAATACTATTATTATAATCTCCAGGTGTTCTCATGAGAGCCAGACTGAAAAACGTATGTGCGTTAGTGTTTCCAGTATAAGATCACTATTTATAAAATCTGTTTAAGCCAGCAATTCCTGATTTACTGCATTTACTACAAAATTTCTCTATTGGGGCCTGTTTTCAGACAGAACAGTTTGTGCTTCCAGTCATAAGAAAAGTGATGGAAACCATTGTGGCTTTGCTTTTTGTAAATTCAGAAGAAATAAAAACACTTAGTGGTTTACCAAAAGCTTTTGTGGAATGTGTTGGATATAGAACACTGCTTGTGAGCGGTGAAGCTCAGCCTCAGTCATCACTCGTCTGCTTCTTTCAGGCTCGTTCACCATCCGTTGCTCTATAAGAGCATCCATAAGATCCATCACGAGTGGACGGCACCTGTTGGAGTGGTGGCGCTCTACGCTCATCCGGTGGAGCATGTGGTGAGATCCGTCGACCTGTCAGAGATCAGAGATCCAGTCAGATGTGGGACAGATGTGTTGAAAGCCTTGGTGTCTTCCTGTCTGTACAGCTGTCGAACATGCTCCCGGCTCTGATGGGTCCGCTTCTGCTGGGCTCACACGTCTCCACCACCAGCCTGTGGTTCACCATCGCTCTGCTGGTCACTACGGTCTCTCACTGCGGCTACCACCTGCCCCTGCTGCCCTCGCCCGAGTTCCACGACTACCACCATCTCAAGTAAGTCCGGGCCTCAATATCAAGAGTTTACACAAAGAAGGCTTGAGGTGAGGTGAACCAGTCCTGGGACTGTGGTGAGTTTCCATGCACCATGCAATAGTGAGTTATAAAGCCAGAATCATATGATAAAGTCACAGTTGCATTATAAAGTCAGAATTGCATGATACGAAGTTACAATTGCATGTTATAAAGCCGGAATTTCATGATATTATGAAATTTAATTGTGAGATAAAATGTCACAAATTATATCTTTTAATATTTTTTATTCAGTGGCGGAAATGGGCTTCCGTGCACACACATACATATCTGCTGCATAGATATATTCTCCTGTCTCTAAGTCTCATCATTGTTCAGTGTTTGGGCAATCTTTTGCCATGAGTTATAACTCACATAGACATCTTTATAATATTTTAGGCTAGAGTCGGCTCTTCACACAATCTCTCAACCCTGCAGGCATGCATTGTGCTTAGTTTGCATGTGCTTTGGTCTCTTCAGTTTTTTTCTCTGGCTATCTTGGGACATTGTTGCCATCTTGTGGACAAACTAAGTACTGCAAAACAATTAAATGCGCATGAGCGACCTTCCGGTTACAAAAACCATGTGATGCACCTACTATACTGGTGATGAAATCTACATGTTGCGTAAAAACTAAAAGCAAAGTATACTTGGGTTAAAAGTGACGGAGGCCGGGGGTGTTTGTTACACACCTGTAACTCAGTGTTTTTCTTACTTTTGATAATTTCCTCACATTTATCTGCTTCAAATGAAGGCTGTTTTGAAATCAACAACTGTGTGAATTAAAGTCACATACAGAGAGTGCAGTTACAGTCTTCTCAACAGCTGGTGAAGGTTTTACATTTTTAGTTTACATTTTGCACGTTTCATTTTTTTCTAAAACAGCAAACAATTAAAAGGTATTGAATAAATAAATAAGAGGCTAACTGAAAAAGTACATGACATACAGTGTGTGTGTGAGGGTGTGTGTGTGTGTGTGAGGGTGTGTGTGTGTGAGTTGTTGACTTTTACAGTAGGATCAAATGTTGCCTTACACATTGTAGCATTCTGTCTGTAGAAGTGAATGGGGAGCGCTGTGTTACATTGTTCAGCAATGTTGTAACATTTAGAGTACATGTTATGTATAAAAGTAAACAAGAGACGTTTGCTGATTCACACGACATATTTAACATGCATTAACCTCATCATTAATCAAATGATATCCCAATTAAACCATTTTTTCTTTCCTTTAAATCCAATATACATACAAGATTGTATCAAATTTCTACCCATTTAGCTAACTATATGAAGGAGACCAGCTCCAAGCCTAACCAAACATCTGAAGCAACAGATCAAGGTCATCAGGATGACTAAACCGAGCGTTTCAGAGCGGACTGACCAATCATCATCCAGGACCAGGGGAAATCTGTCAACCTTGCTCTACATTCAACTCACGAGTGACCTTTATTCTCAGGAGATAACAGCCAAACTCTGGCCATAGCTCTTTGAACGTTTCATAGGTCTCCATGTGATATCGATGAAGATCATGTAACAGAGCTGACTGTGATAGCAGGGGTTCCTCATAGGAAGCATTGCTTACCTGCTGATGTATCTCAGACAACAGTTATGAAGATTACGTGAGTGCATTCAAAGCATCTCCGCCGTGAAAAGTGCACATGATCTGCAAATTCTGTCACCAGCGTATCGCTCCATATCCAACTGGTTTGCAGCCAGCTTATTACTTAGTAAATGGATCGCCTCTTCATTTTGGACATGCAAAACATTTATCGGCAACACAAGAAAGATGTTCCTCAAAACAACATGGGCTTTCTTTGACATTTGAATCACTTGTCTATAACTGTAAAGCTGCTTTGAAACAAGCTGTATAGCGCCTCCTACTGTATAACAGTGAAGACACAGAAAGCCTGAAACTTCTGTCTACGGCAGGGAAAGAGTTCAATGAGCTCAGCGTGTGGTAGTGATTGTCCAGACCAGGGGTTTTTGAACTATTCCTGGATATATCCAAAACGATGAAGAGGCTGCAGAAAGAGTGTGGCAAAGCCTTGTTATTCTGACTGAACAGGGCAGGTTGTTTCTCGAGCGCGGTCTAAATCCAGCTGTGTTTCTCTCCAGGTTCAATCAGTGCTACGGAGTGCTGGGAGTGCTGGACAGGCTTCATGGGACGGACGAGAAGTTTCGTAATGCTAAAGCGTACGAGCGGCACACGGTCCTGCTGGGTTTGACCCCACTGAGCGAGAGCATCCCTGACCATCCCAAGAAAGCACAGGAATAACTGCGCTTCACTTCATTCCATGAACATAAACACTACATGAACTGATCAGCAGGTCTAATGGATCTCAAATCCTGTGTGATTCACTCAAATGACCCGCTGACATGCAGAGACCCTGTTCACGAGGTTATCAGTTCCTTTTATTGTTCATCTTGTGTCACTTCTCATATTGTGTCAGAATAGCATTATTGCACATTTATGCAGAGGATCAAAATGATTTTAATTCTGTATTTTAGCACTGATAGTAAATCTACTAATGTTTTTTGGAAATGAACATTGTACTCTTTCTGTCCCCTGATGATTCCTGACATCAGTTTCTGGAGTTTATCATCAAACCTGTCATTAAAGCTGATCTGCTGTACCTGGTGTGTTTGCATTATTAATAATTCTAATGCACATCTCAAATTCCTAAAATTAAATAAAAAAAAACAAAAACAAAGAATTCTTCTGGTGGAGGACAGAAGACAGTAATATGCTTCACCCAGCACCAGTCCTCCCAATCTGAAGTGACATCTCTGAATAACAGACGCACTGTTGAGAGAACCAGCAGTATCTACAAACCCAACCCTTTTCTTATTAATATTGTCGTCAGAGTTGGTGAGAGGCTGCATGAAATGTCAGTGCCTGGAGATGTGAAACACATTGACATTGACCTATCCACACTCCCCCACTCTAAGATGTCCATCATGTGATTTACCTTCTTTTACATGTGTAGGTAATGATCATTTCAAGGTGAATGGTTGTCCTGTTCCTGCAGTATCTGACGGCGTCAGTGACCTGGAGTCTCTCACACCTAATCACCAAAGAAAAACCAATTCTGCCTGAAAAAAAGACACGTCAGGGACTTGTATTCCTCTGGGATAAACTGTCAAATCATGACAAAATCAGTGCCAAACTAGAAATACAACGTCCCACAGACAACAGGAGTAAATGTGCAAAGGCTGCAGTTGACTATGTAGGGAAGTTCATTACACATCTCACTACACACGAGAAAACAAGTTTCCATAAAACAACAGACTGTGAGTGGCAACAGCTGAAATAGCTCTGACCTCCAACAAAGAACACCAAGGTGTCTACAGGACCAGTGTTGGGGGTAACACAGTACAAGTAACGCGAGTTACATAATCAGATTTATCTTTTCAAGTAACTAGTAAAGTAACATTACTTTTTAATTTACAAGAGAATATCTGAGTTACTTTTTCAAATAAGTAACAGCAGTTACTTTGTTTCCATGTCTTGACTGACAGCTCTGGTGTTGCCATGGTGACAGAAATCAGGAGTAAGTGCAGAGCGCTGTGTGTGAACATGATCTTACTGTAGTTCTAGACTAAATATGAACGTTTACTCATCTCACTGCACAAAAACACATTCAGTATTCATCAAAATGAATTAAAACGGTGAAATGCAAACTCAGAATATGACACAAACCTGCAATATTTAATTATGTTAAATAACACAAATATGCTTTATGTATTTAATCACATTTTATTAACTAATATCTTCAACCATACAAATAAGCAAAAATGACTTTAGATAAACAATATTTGGGGGGTTATTTTTTTATTGCTGATCTAAGAATGTTGAGCTCTCTTTACTTCAGCCTGAGGCTTATTAATTTCACTTTTGTTATTAAGGGGCTTTTACATTTGCCAAAAATAGAACTTTTTTATATTAAAAACAATCCAGCCCAGATTCAAAAAGTAACGTAATGCATTACTTTCCATAAAAAGTAACTAAGTAATGTAAGTAGTTACATTTTTTAGGGAGCAACACAATATTGTAATGCATTACTTTTAAAAGTAACTTTCCCCAACACTGGTCAGAAAGCTGATGGTAGACCTAGAACTCCATTTTAAAGGGGTCATGACATGAGAAATCAAATTTGCCTTGATCTTTTGGCATATAAGAGTCTTTGCACCATTAAAACATCCTGCAACTTCCAGAGCTTAAAACGTACTCCTCGTTATAAACAAAGCATTTATTTAATCAATCTCCAAAAACGGCTCGTTTGGATCCGAGGGGCAAGATGTCGTCACCCGAGCACAAACATTTGCATAAACACGCCTCCAGAGCTAGACATTGGCGAATAGTCTTCTTCTCAGCATAGGCCCCGCCCACTGGGGGGTTCAGTCGCTAACGACTGAAGGATTTTGTTTTGTAATCGAGGCAGTGTCATGGAGACTCACAAAGAAACATCTGTTGAGACTAGACATTGGCGAATAGTCTTCTTCTCAGCATAGGCCCCGCCCACTGGGGGGTTCAGTCGCTAACGACTGAAGGATTTTGTTTTGTAATCGAGGCACAGTGTCATGGAGACTCACAAAGAAACATCTGTTGAGAGATGAAGCAGAACTAGATCTGACCGCAGCTGCATCACAAACCGTAAGCAGAGGATTTCATAATGCTTCGTCTGGAAATGACCCTTTTATTTTGATCATGTTGTCAAAACACGCAATAGTGAGGGGCGTTGATACTTTTTCCTATTCAGTGATGCTAGCCAATCATAACAGCGGCTGATTACTGACGAGCCTTAAAGGACACGCCCCTAAAAACGGCTGGTTTCAGACATTAATGTTATTAACATTATAAGTAAACCTTAAGGAACATTAAAATAAGCAAAAATCCATGTCATTTGCATAAACACGCCTCCAGAGCTAGACATTGGCGAATAGTCTTCTTCTCAGCATAGGCCCCGCCCACTGGGGGGTTCAGTCGCTAACGACTGAAGGATTTTGTTTTGTAATCGAGGCACAGTGTCATGGAGACTCACAAAGAAACATCTGTTGAGAGATGAAGCAGAACTAGATCTGACTGCAGCTGCATCACAAACCGTAAGCAGAGGATTTCATAATGCTTCGTCTGGAAATGACCCTTTTATTTTGATCATGTTGTCAAAACACGCAATAGTGAGGGCCATTGATACCGTTTCCTATTCAGTGATGCTAGCCAATCATAACAGCGGCTGATTACTGACGAGCCTTAAAGGACACGCCCCTAAAAACAGCTGGTTTCAGACATTAATGTTATTAACATTATAAGTAAACCTTAAGGAACATATTAAAATAAGCAAAAATCCATGTCATGACCCCTTTAATACTATCCACTTCACCAGCTAATTAAATAAAACTCCATTTAAAACGAGCAGTTCATCCAATAAATTCGTGTAATCTTACCTTGACACTATAGAAATACAAACGGAACACAGAAGACAACGAGCAGCTACATGAGGTCTATATTGCTGAACCAATGTGGTTCAAATGATAGAGGTGCAACCATGTTAGTACAGTTTTAGGAAACAATTGTGACTAGTTGGTTAGTTTCTCCAACAATGAAGTAGTCAATCAGGGAGTTGCTCATTGTATAGGAAACACACCGCTGGACAGTTTAGGGATCTCCAACCCCAATCAAACACACCTGAAGCAGCTCATCAAGGTGTTCAGGGCTACTGTCAGTCACGGGCAGGTGTGCTGGAGCAGGTTAGGAACTGAGCTAGCTCTCCAGGAGCAGGGTTGAGTTCAAATCCCCCCTCCTCCTCCTCACTGTGTGTCATGTATATCCCAACAGCATTGGGTAGATGATGGTGTACGTCAGCATCAGCCAAACACCTGGGGCCTGTACCTTGATGGTAGATGAACAAATTCAGAGTTACAGGATTAGTTTTGAGTTGACAAAACCAAACCACTCTAATCCGGCTTTACTGGTACCATGATGCTGATCATCAACTTTCTTTGTCAACTCAGGCTTTGATCCCGAGTTTGTGGAGCACACGGTTTGGTTTTGTCAACTCAACTAATCCTGTAACTCTGAAAAAAGCCAATAAAACTGGCAGTCTACAGGTAGCTTCGTCTGGTTCATAGAAAAGTTCAACAGCTGCTTTGGGGTTTTGACCTTTTTAAAATTTATTTTTTTTCATTAAAGAAAAAAATTCTACAAATTACAAATCACACTAATAGCAATCACATCTGCCTATAATTCAGATGAAGGGTTATGATACACGATTTCAAGTATTTTACAGTTCCCATTGTTCTCCTCTCAATAAGCCAAATATATATATATGTGTGTGTGTCGTGGTATTGAAGTATGAACAGTTTTAGTTATGTCTTTATGAATGACCTCTGAAGATGCACCAGCATTAACGGACGAGAGGCTTTTTCCACACCGTTTAGTTGAATAAAAGGTTTTTAATTACATCAGTGATCACAAGATTTTCCTCATCAGGATTTGACCACAGCTACTCTGAATGAAGAAGCCTATCGAGGGAAAGCAGGAGAAGGGAACTGCTAAACGTGTCGCAAGTTAATACGAAATAAAACTCAAATCCAAATATCACCAGAGAGAGATGAATGGAAACCAAAATGACTGAAAACACTGGAGCAAACAAACAGGTAGATGGTCATATGGCAGCCAAACTCGTGTGAAAATCCATAAATTAGATCAGTGACTGGAATATTGCTTATGATCCAAATGCAGTCGGCAAAGTTCTCAGATGCATCACTTATAATAATCATCATCATCATCATAATAGTGTCTTTCTTCACGATTCCAGTTGATACCCTGAGGTCAGTTTCCCTTTAGTCAGACCGTCCTGCTGTTTGCATGAAGAAAATCAAGAAGTGATACTAAAATGACCCCGTAATGACACCGAGCTCAGACGCAGAAGCTCAGACGCATTCGGGTGAGCATAAAAAAGATGCACACGTAAGGCAAATATATCTCTATAAACAATAAATGACACGTACAGCCAGGTGGTGCAATGTCTCTTAATTTCTTGAATTCATATGTACACTAGGATTAACACTAGATCTGGGATGTTTCCGTCTCCGATGTTTCCTCGCAGGACGACGAGCTGAGGAATGATCCACGAACACAACGGAGCGCAGCTCGCTGAAGCTAAGAGTCGTCGCTGATGTCTTCTGTAACAGACACGTGGAGGAAAACGAGAGGATTTGGCAAGCGGGACGTTAGTGTCACAGTGATGCCCAAGCCAACTTCTGCTAGAAAATCTATCGAAGACCCCCGAAAAACCGGCAACATAAAATCATCTGGCTCAAACAACTACAGATCACATGATTTTCTGAGTGAAGTGTTTGTCTCATCCAGTACCTACTCTAGTCAGGAGCAACCTTACCCTTCAACGCAATCCTTAAAAAAAAAGAAAAATCAGTGTGGAATCAACGCATCGTTCGGCCAAATCAAACAGTGAGGAGGATATAAAGCAGAAAGATCCAACAAAAGCCCGATGATACAAGAGGAATAAAACTTCAAAGTCTTTAATAAAACAAAGAAAGGAAGAATTTCTCATGCCCTCTGCTGTCCGTTTGTGACACACAGATGCTGTGAAGGAGGAGGAGGTGGAAGAGCCTTGATTTGACGATCATGAGCCGTTGTGTCGTGCTTGTGCGGTCGGGTCAGACGCTCATTTGGGCGCCGCTGCTCGCTGGCCCGGGGCTTTGGCATCATCTCTGGAGGCAGGAGCGGTCTGGGAGGGATGACGGCGACGGCCATCGCCGCTGGAAGGGTGTCTCTTACGCCCGCCGTCCTCCATGGGCGGCTAAAGGGCAGAAAAACCGCAGCTTTAACGACACACATCTCGTGACACACACAAGAAACACCAATCTAGGGCTGGGCGGTTTTTCCCATTTTATCGATTAATTGGAATTGCCACGATTTTATTTTTGAGAAATCGAGGAATCGCAATTTTGAATAGAAATATTACCGAACGTTAGAGTCAGACAGTTTGACAATATGCCAATATGATAACAGAAAAGAGAAAAGAACGATCCAAACGCATTTCGGCACACGTGATTAACCTGCTCTGTGAAAGTCAAGTCAAGTCACCTTTATTTATACAGCGCTTTTAACAATACAGATTGTGTCAAAGCAGCTTTACAGCATTAAATAGGAAAATAGTGTGTCAATAATGCAAAAAAAGACCATAAGTAAGACCATAAAGACCATAAGTAGAATATATCGCCAGGTGCCGTTCACACAGAATGCAATTTTTGTGTTGACAGTGGAATAGGAAACACATGCAAGAAGATGGGAGTTAAACTTCTTTTAACTTGAGCGCCGTGTTTCTAGAAAGCCATTAAATGCATGACGCTGCGAGAGATGCGAGCACAACAGTCAAACACGTCCATGTTTACACAGAAAAAACAACGGAAAAGCAGCGCAATCGAATAAAAAAAAACCTGTGAAGAACTACTGCTGTATGACTGATATTTCATGTTTGCATCATGGTGTCAGACTGAAAGCTGCTGTTGTTTTTACAGAACATTTATAGCTAATAATAGTCTACTGGTGTTATGCCTTCAGTCATTTTGATTTTGAATTACCTTGACCTTTGAGTTTTTTTAAAGCATTTTCTTTGTATTATTTTTGAACATATAATATGTGACCCTGGAGCACAAAACCAGTCATAAGGGTCAATTTTTTTAAATTGAGATTTATACATCATCTGAAAGCTGAATAAATAATCTTTCCATTGTTAGGATAAGACAATATTTGATGAGATACAACTATTTGAAAATCTGGAATCTGAGGGTGCAA